CCCCAGCTCGGCCCCACCCGGCCCGGGACACTTCGAGAAATCGAAACGACCTTGCACTGCACCTCGCCAAAGTCGTGGCCCACGGCTGGAGTGGCAGTTGTACAATGTACTCGCCTGCTCACTCGCTAATGTCCGTCCTCGTCATGCATCCTGTCTGTTCCTCTTAACAAAAGAGAGAGAGAGGAGAGAGAGAGGAGAGAGAGAGAGGAGAGAGAGAGAGAGAGGGAGAGAGAGAGAGAGAGAGAGAGAGAGAGAGAGAGAGAGAAGGGGGGGGGGATATGGACCTCTATGTGCCTGTTGCAGTTGCGCAAAATTTTGTTAGTTGTGAAAAAAAGGGCTGATTTGAGTGGAATTGTTATTACTGTTTTTATGAACACGCCCACGCAATGAGATCAGCACGCACACAGAAGTTCATAAAATTATTGAGCTTAAAAATTGTTCCCAAAAACTCGTGATTGGTTCCCTGCAGGACCTCCGCGCCGTCCTGAGACGCACGGCCGCCTTCCTGGGCGTCGAGATCCCCGCCGGCCGGGAGGACGCCGCGCTCGACCACCTGAGCTTCGCGTCCATGAAGAACAACCCGATGGTGAACCTGCAAGAGTTCATCAAGCCCAAGGCTCAGGGGGACGCGTTCATCCGGCAGGGCGAGGCCGGGGCCTGGCGGCGGCGGCTCACGCCCGAGCAGACGGCCAGGATGAGCGCCTGGTGTGCGCGCGCGCTCGAGGGCTCCGACTACCCGCACTTCAGGGAGTAGGGCGGGGGCACGGAGTCTGTGCGAGAACTGAATCTGTGATGCCTGACTGCAGTTGATTAACTGAACCTCCTGACCAAAAAGATCCGAAAAAAACAAACAAAAACACGTATCTGATGTTATTTTTACCAGATGATACCTTAAAAAACTTAAGTACATGCAAAGATAATGTGAAGGCGTCTTTATTGTGCTTTATCTTAAAGACAACGCTTACATTTTGAATGATTTGGCGCTGTCGTTTGAGAACGATCATTACATTTTGTTGCATTTAGGAACTGTTTGAAAAGTCATCCGTTGTGTTGTTACTTGCTATTTTTAAAGCCTTTTACATATGGAATATATTACTCAAAAACCACATCTATTTAACTGACTGTCAATTCGATGACGCCACAATCCCCCGGCCTTTGTCACTGCATTTCCGTGAGGACTTTGACTGTTGCCAGTGCCGTAGTGGCGTGGTTGGCGCTCCTCACGGAATGCGATAGCCAAGTATCGAACACCACTTCCTTCCAATTAAGCTCCCCTTGCTCATCAGCCTGATACCCCCCCACCCTCCTTTGCCATTCCCTTGCGGATAGTAAAAGTTGAACCGTCTGCTCGATCCTGCCTCTTCCATCTCATGCTTTCCTTTTCCGCCCAACTTGGGTAGGGGCATCTCCTCCTTTCCTTTGAGCCCCCTCCCCCCCTCTCCCTCCCTTCCATCTGCTCTGTGTCGGTTTCCTACGAGTAATCCGATTTGACCCCGCCGCGACGCGCTGCGCGGCCGGAGCACTGTGGCCGCTTCTTCACCACGCCTCCCCCCCCCCATCCTTCATCCCCTCCCCGAACACGCGATTACAAGACCCCCTCCCCACACAATCTGTCACGATATCCTCTGCCTCGTGCGTTACCAGGTACTTTGGAACTTCCCTCTAAGTCCATCTCCGTCTGTTCCGCCCGAGGCCAGAGGCCCGCCCCCGGTGTTGTGGTTTGACGCCTTCTGCTAATCCGAAGCACTGCAAAAGAAAAAAAATCTAGAACGGAATAACAACAGTTTTACACTGTAAATTAACAAACATAAACACCGTTTTAAAAATGGAAACTTGTATTGTGATCTGTCGTGTGAAAGATACTTGAATTGAACTTCAGTTTACACGCACTCGAAGAAGTAATTACAACGAAAACGTTTACAGCGTTTCAGGTTGGAGAGGACGGGTGGATATTTATTTTTGCAGTATGTTTCGGGGGTGGAATGGCTCTTTCTCTCGAGGCTTCGCGAAGATCGGCCTAACAGCCACCACCTCGAGGAGGCTGTTGAGATCGTCGCTCAATCTCTACCGCTTGCCCCCTTACACAGCGAAACAGTCTTCCCCCCTCCCCTCTCTCCGTCCTGCTTTCTCATTCCCACCCACAGACTGCGCTGCTCAGCAAGTCCCTTAATGAGTGCGACAACTGCCTCCCTGCGCTCTTCTTGCCGCTTCTTGCCACCACAACTATCAAGGGAATTTGTTGGTAATTGTTTACGTCGGAAATTATTTAGCAAAAAACGAAAAACCAACAACAAAAACGTATATACGAGTGGAGAGAGGAGGCTGGTGTGACTCTCTGAAGTCCAATCTTTTAGTGGAACTTCAAAAGAGTCCGGGTCCAGGAAAGTCCACATCATAAGATACAAGGAAAACCGGCGGTAGAGGAAAAGAAAGTGAGAAAGGAAGTAGAGAAAGAGACAGATAGAGAGAGAGATGGGGAGAGAAAGCGAAAGAGAGAGATAGAGTTCTTTATTTCAATTCCAGGAACCAGGGCTAATAAAACAGACACACGGTGGCAGCAGAGAATGGCGGGGCGGCCTCTGCCGAAGCTCGAACGCCGCGGGCGGCCACGGGCAACGCGGCCCGGCGCACTGGGTGGCGGGGCGGGGCATGCGGACATACAAAGCGCCGCGCCCCGCCACGCTCCAACGCGAACAGACGGGCTGAGTCGACCGCGACCCTCTCCCGCCCCTATCCCTCCCCGTCTTCACTCCACGCACTAGGCCATTGAAAAGGACTTGGAAAATATCCCGAAAAGGGATATGGGCAAAAGTGGCGTGGACGGCCCGACGGCCCGACCACTTTCGCTCCCGCCCGCCTCCGCCGCCGGTCAGAGTGGCGCTTTTGTGCCCTCGGCCGTGTATAATGAGCAAGGATTTAAAGGCGGCCTGCTTCTTTGGCTTCTCAAAAAGAAAAGGGCATTTTCTTCCTCAAAAAGGAAAAAAAAGGGTACTACAAAGAGGCGGCGCTAAAATACATTCGTCCATTTTAATGTCATTTCCCCTTTTTTCCGGGGCGTATGGCGTATTCAGCGCGGATGTCGAGGATGATGAGATGGCGCGTTTATTGCTTTTTTTTGTGTTTTTTCTTTGTATATTTTGTTATTTTTTGTTGGGGGAGGGCGGCGGCGGGGCTTGCGGAGGGAATAATGTGGGTGGTGTGGGGTGTGTGCAGTGACGTGTGCGTATATGACTGATCCACCTATACACATCCCGCCCCATATCCTGATATCGCCCATTCGCAGCCGTCGAAAGAAAAAGCGAATTAAAAATAGGGGCATCGCTGACGCTGCTGACGCGGGCGCTCGCCGGCGCGTGAAAGAGATTATTCGAAATCCGATAATAATGGCCGATGGCCGGTGAAATTTGATGCATTGTCGTCTGCGAATGTCGGGTAAACAGATTTCACTCGCGCGTTACGCGCGTGCTTAGCTCGCAGACAGGCTGGGTGGCTCGTGCGAGCACGCTAAAAACAACGTCCTGGTTTCCAAACTATTTCACAAAAACCAAGGCGTCTTTTGAAAGAAATACATGGGTACACGTTTTATTCTTGTTTTCCGCAAAAGTGCTTGAAAACTTGTTTTGTGGAACCTTTTACATAACGCATTTTTGTCTCGCACGCTGCGCATGCTTTCTAAATAAATGCTCTATATTTTCCCGGCGGCGCACCACATACCACCTATCCGGGGTCCGGGGTTGTCGATATGAAACGTGTGAGCCTCATGACAGCCTTCCACGTAAACGTTACCGTTATCTTAAAATCTCTTCTTCGCGCCCCTCTCTCCCTCTTCCTCTCCCTCTTGCTCTGCGCCGTTGCGTTTAAGTCATTCTAGGGAAGACTATACTATTTCGTCGTTTTCCCACACTCTAAACTTTAAATCTGGTGACAGAGAAGCAGCCGGACCCAGCCGCCCATCATCTGCTAAAACACCCTCAGGTTCACAGTTTAATACATCCCCCCACCATAGCTAAGTTAAAGGAACGTGTTCTTTAAGCAGACATCTCCGCTGTTAACTGTACAGGGATGGGTTGCGGATAAACCGAACCACACACAGTGGCGCAGCCAGCCAATTAGCCGTCTGTTTGCAACCAGATCGAAAACACACACACACACACACACACACACACACACACACTCACACATAGAGAGATTTAAACATACTTACAACACAGACACGAGGCAATACAGACGCGCGCATTCCCCCGCCGCCGCCGCGTCCCTTTGCTTTGTACCGACTCTGCGGCGCATTCTGCTCTGGATTCAGAGGATCCAGCGGCTCCCCCCGGCCGCCCGGCCGCACGCACATCCCCCTGGCGCAGTGCAAAAGTTGTTATTGTTTCCCCCCGCCGAGCAACGCAGCTGCAGCAGCCTTTACTGCAAAGTGGAAGCAAACGTTGCGAAGAATTTTCGATCATTCTGCTAATAACAGAATGATATTGCGAAGAATTTGTTCGTATTTGTTCGTATTGCACGATTCAATTATTTAAAAGACCGTCAGAATGGTTTGCTAAGTATTTGATGTTCACGTATATTGCAGTTTGAAAGCTTGCAAGGAACTAGTTTGTCCTGCAACGGTTTAAAATTCTTTGGAAGCTGCAGAAAAATAAATAAATACAGACCTATGCTTTGCAAGCAGTTTGCACCCCGCGCGCAGATACAGAAGTAATGACCAGCAATAACCAAAATACGCGCACAATTGGGTAAAGCATTACAAGAGCGCTGCGGTTTTACAACTCCGCGGGGGGAACACAGTGCTATGAAGTCCGTCGAAGTGTATGTCGGGCTTGCCTATCTGTCAGGGGTGCCCGCAGATCCTGTCGGGCCAACATCACGCGCTTAAAAATTGACAAGAAAACCGAAATTCATTTTCTCGTTTAAAGAACAAACAGGGCATTTCTATGGGTGACCCCGGTAGTACACGGAAAAAAAAAGATTCGCTGAGCCAGCTAATATATTGACTGGTATCTGGACAGACAAGCACTTAAACTTCTGTAACCACTATATTGTCTTCTCTAATCAATCATTGGCTGTGCCAGTTAAAGATAAGTTGTATGAAGTAATGATTTGCCTGCATCAGTAAGGTAGACCTCGACTGATTTAGGTAAGGTATGAGCTCTTACAGCTAATTTTTGACTGGCACAGCCAATGATTGATTAGAGTAGACAATATAGTGGTTCCAAAAGTTGATGTGCTTGTCTGTCCAGATGCCAGTCAATATATTAGCTGGCTCAGCGAATCTTTTCTTTCCGTGTAGAGACTCACAAAAACCTCAGTCAGATGACGGTACTACAGAATAGAACAAATAAATCAAGCTCCTAATTGCAAAATTTTGTTGGGGTAATGTTCGCATAGCGCCCACAAGCGCGCGAAAATTTGTCCGTGAACCAGATGCAATGCTGTCTTATTTCTTTTTTTCTCTTAAATTTGTCCGCAAAAAGATTGTGGCATTCCACAAATATAGGAAAGTGATGAGAAAATTTAGCAGTACTATGTTTTTTATTTCAATGAGTTTTCATAGATACATCTTTCATAACTGGTACCCCTATACATAACCCAACATTTCAGATTCTGTATTTTGTTATATCTAATACTGGAGAGTAGCACTATTTATGAGCAGTTCTTCTAGAGAGACTCTCATTTGAACATAATATAGTATTACAAATTCAATGTTCAATCAATAATACTCTAAATTGTGACCAACAAGTTGTATTATTCTGGTGCAATTGACGGAATTTATAACTGCCACTTTTGACTTCAATAGTTATATCTTTATTGAGAAGTTAAATCTTACCCTTGTTTTTATTAAGAGTTGGTAATTTTGTTTCGTTATTTTACATCCAAATGAGTAGAACCACAAAAATTTGTAATCAACATAGGCACCATAACCTAGACAGAGCATGTTGACATTCTCTGTTCGGAAACGAGCCGAGAACTTCCAATATGAACAAAATCAGAAGTGAAACAGAATATTCGCGACACACTGGTCGAAACAAAAGCTCTTCTCTCCAATATCTGATAAAAACAAACACAACCAAACTTGAAATGTCTTTCGTAATGGCGGACTCTCTCTCTA